ATATATATATATATATATACACAATCAATTTTCTTAAAGAACATATATTTTGCTATATAGTTTTCTATCAAAATGCACACTTACTTTTTATATTGCAATTTTGAAATTGCGATTATTATAAATGAAATATAAAGTACATTAAAAAAGTAATAATAATAATACTAAGGAATGATATTAAATATTTATAAAAATACAATTATTTTTATAGAAGTTTGAAGATAAATTTTGAATTAAAATGCATTTTAATGATAATTTTATGAAAGCTTTTTTCAAAAAAGTTATTATTAAATTATTTTTATATTAAAATTTTTCATTCTACAATTTGCAAAATTATGTTTTTTCATAAAATTACAAAAGAATTAATTGCTTTAATTTTTTTTATGTATTTACATGCGAATCTAATGTTTTTAAACGTAGAATTTTAGTGGGTCACTGTGGGCTATTGTGAGTTACATCGTTATGATTCATAAATTATGCAATATGATTGACGCATACATTTAGCTCTTCAATAATTGCAATGTATACTACACATCATTAAGTGTCGATATATTTCAATACATTTTCATAATACGTCAAGCGCCTTAGAGGTTAATAATTAAATATTCACTAATAATAAAATCAATAATTATTTTCGGAAACGAAAAAAAATATACACCAATGCTTTAAAGTTTTATCCCGATTATTCATTATCTGGGCTTTTTTTACATTTATTTATTAAATACAAAAATAAAAGAAGTCCATTTCTTCATTTATAACTATGAATAGAGATAGAGAACAATATTACAATTAATCTTATTTTATAAACATGATATAGGGGACTATAAAATATTATTTTCTATTGTAAAAACGGAGTATGTAACGAATTCGAGGTGAAAATAGTTTCTATGCGAGTTTCATTTTTAGTTTGGCATTTTGTTGAGGAAATGTAGTAAATTTTATTGAAATTCTTCAACCTGATTGTATTATTAAAAATAGAAAAATTTTATCAGATAATATGTATAGAAATACTGAAATGACTTGTTCGAGCTTTTGTAATTGTTGCATTTGAAGCAAAAGTGTCCGACAAAAAAAAATCATGTAATGCTCACTATCATGTGAAATGTAATATTTAAGTTTTAGTTTAGTTGTTTGAAACTTCCCATCGTCGTGATTTATAAATATAATAAAAATGTATGTTTGTATAAACATATATAATATATATATATATATATAATTTTGTTTTTTGGGAATTAAATGGTATATATAATTTATCGACTTGAAGTATCAAATTTTGATCATATTTCTAATAAGTGCAAATTAAAAGAGAAAATTACATATTTAATATTGAAGTTACAAAATTTGATACTTTAGTTCAGATGCAAATTAATTCTAAATATCGCTTTTTCCGTCCAGTGAAATTGAAATCGAGTAGTATTGAATATTTATGATACTTCGATACATTTTTAAAGTTCTTTGAAATAACATTTTATATAAAACTTTTATTTATCATGCAGATCATTTAAAACTATTGGTGTGATTTTGAATTTTAAGTTTCTTAGAATTATCTTATTTATTTATAACTATTAGAATTTAATTATACAATAATATTAAAAATGTATAATATAAAATATAAAAATTATGCGATTTGTAAATGAAGTATCGCTACAATTACATTACTTTAAAAACTTTTTTATGTAATATTTATCAACGATTTTATATTTTTATATCTTGTTTATAAATTTTTTATCTTCGTTTAACGTGTATCATTTTAATTTTCATTAAAAATTCATATGAAATAATAGTTAATAGTGAAAATAATAATAACAATAACAGTAATAGTTAGTAGTTAATAATTAATATTGAAATATAATCATTGTTAATTACATACAATAATTTATATTTACGATATAGTGCAAGTAATAGAATCAAATTGGTGAGGATTATATTACGAGTACAGACAGTTTGAAAATATCTAATTTAACATATATTTTTTTAAGAGGCATCGTGTAATCATAGAATAATATCTTTCTTTCTCAAATAAAAAGTATTTTATATGATAATTTTTTTTTTTTTAATTTATATTATGACGATGTTTCGTACAAATTAATAGAAAGTCCGCAGGTACGTCAATCGTGCTTTTAATCTAAAACGTTTTATAATTTCATTGTTCATATGCATAATACGTAACTTTATAAATATCAACATACGACATTAAAAGTTTTTAACATTATACGAGAGACTCTTCTCTACTATATTCACTTATTTCTTAAAAAAATTTACTCGAGATTTATTTTATGTTTTTTATATTAAACATAAACTTTACGTAATTATTTTCATTTTCAATTAAAAATTAAAATGCTATGGCTTATAATATTTTTATTTTTTTTTTAAAAGCTTTTAACATTAACACTTGCATTCTCATTAATAATACTAACTATAATATTAGTTATCTATAGAACTATTTATAATTTACTATCACTAAAGAAACTTCCAAGTACTTGACAATATTTTAATTTAGGTAATGATGTATAAGGAGAAGGGTGGAACGATTCCGAGTTGATTAATTAAACTCGTCAGTATAACTGTCAGAATGACCCTGACCGATACTTTATAAACGAGTATAAAGGATTTTCTTTTTTATACTGAGTATAACCGAGTGTAGTCCTTTTCTACCACTTCTACCAAATTTATTGTTAGTATTAAGTGACCAACTTCTTTACTCTCTCTCTCTCTCTCTCTCTCTCTCTCTCTCTCTCTCGATCTCTTTCCGCCCTACTGGTAATTATGTGTATCGCCTTACCAAGCGTACATTCATATAGCAAGTCTTTCCTTTTACCGAATTTTATTAATTAAAAACATTATTATACTTTAATATTTCATCGTTTTTATCATTTTATTTTTAATTTAATTACTTATCATAATAAAATTATACCTAATGAAATAATATATGTAATAATGTTTATTATTATAAAAACAGATAAAATAAAAATCAATAATATATTATTATGTTACACAAATAAATTGTAGTTCGTTTGTATTTTATTTTATATTTTATTTGTCGAACGGTTTTGCAGTTATTGATTAAGTTTAGAAAAATATACGTTGTAAGGAGTAAACGTATTGTTTTCAATATTTTCTCTTATTACCTTCAATTGGACAATGCACTCTTCTAATAGATATTAAAGTTTGATGGAATTTAAAAATAATTAATTTAAAAAAATAAATAGTATCTAAATTTTATTGAATATATTCTTTCAATTATTAGGGAGAGTATTTTTATTTAATTTCACAAGTAATTGTTACATTATATGACAAGTTACAACTCGTATGTAAATCATTTTGACATAATTATTTAAGAGATGAACAATATTATAGTATATTTAAAATACTGACCGTACTCAAGAAATTAATTTAAATGTCATCAGCAGATTTTATCTCATAATCACATACTTACTTTTTTCATATTTTACTTGTAGTTGTATAAATTTATTATATATTTGAAAAAAATTTTAAATTATAATAAATAAAATTTTAATTTTTAATTTATTTCCTATTATTATTGTAATAAATTAATATTAAGCAACAAATGTTATTGCTTTCAATTTTGATTATTTTTTAATTAATATTGTGATAAATTCAAATTAGCGAATGAATGCTATTGTTATTTACTTTTTTTCTTTTTTTTCTTTTTTTTTTCAATTAGTATTAATAAAAATTGAAATTAACTTATATACGTCTAACATGTTGTTGGGCATTAGTGAATTTAAGTAGGGTGTACATTTATTTCGAATTAGTTTGGATTAAATTATAATTTGATCTGTTATATTTTTCGATTTAACATTAATAATTTTCAACAATGAAAAACCGAGAAGTATAAGAATTGTAATTGAATTAGTCTAGTCAAAAGGAAGTGAATACAAAATCTTTTGTAGTTCAAATAATACTAACTTAATTTCTTTGATTATATAAAAAATTAAGAAATGCTTATTCTCTTATTAAACGAAAATAAAGTTAATTGAAAAATTTTTTTAATACTGTGCACATTTACATTTATTATTTAAAACAAATATAAGAATTTCCACACAATTTATTTTTACATAATAAAACTATGGTCGGTAATTCTTTTTATTTAAAATAAATATTGTATGCAACGGAGAATATTATTTCTAATAAGATTTTGCTTACATAATTATATTTTCACTTTAATAAAATCATTTTCATTAAAATGAATCATCAGGGTATTAATTTTTAAATAGAATTACTATCAAATAAAATTACTTTTCAAATCATCTTCATATAAAAAGTTAAATATTTTTTAAGTGTGAATCTTACATGCTTACTAAAAAGAATTTAAGAATAACGTATAACACTAAAAATAATAATAATACGATTGACTAAGTTTCTCGAAATTGAATAATAATTTGAAAATTAACCACTTCGAATGGAGGGATAAATTGTTACTACATATAATATATATTTTGCATTGTAATATCAGTCGAGTATTGAAATATTAATGGCTACTGCAATTGAATACGATGAAGTCCATAAAAAGTAAAGTAATAAAAATTACACGCAAAAAACCTTCAAACAATGAGGTTGTAAAGTTTATTGATTAAAATGTTGTAAACTTTTAATGAAAACATTGAAGAATTTTAATAACAACATCCTAAGTTTATGTTAATTATGTTTTGAAATTTATTTAAATTATATATATACGGGTTAGTACTCGACTTTGTACTACGTACAGGTTAAACATGACTTTATCTAATTAACAATTAAATTTTTTACGAGGCTTTCTTTTAAAGTTCAAATTTCAATGTTGTTTTTTATACATTTGGAAAAGTATGTTGCGAATAAAATTCACTCTGTAAAAGAAAAAATGTGTATGTCAATACCAGATTAATTACAAAGTTTTAGGATTTTTTATCTGGTAATGCCGCTCGCTTAAAAGAACATGTATCTCCATAGAGTTTTACTTAATAGAAAATAAATGGGAATAGAAAAAAGATCAAATGTCCTACCTGAAACTCGACGCGGTACAAAACTGGAAATTTTCTACGCAGTTCGCAAAGCTTCGGGTACTGGGAGAGTTCGGTTGGGGCGGTTGGTAGAGTCGTTCCGAGACCAAGTTCCTCGGCTGCTGGAACAAAACGAGATTTCACCTGAGTAAAGTGTTAAATGGTCGGTAAACATGTGTGCATGCAGGCGTGCATGTAGTACATTTGTTGTCCAAAGCGTCCCGTCTTTTCATTGAATTTAATTAATGTTCTGAACGGGTCGAATATAGTATCTTCATTAGAATTAAAATATTTCTTTTGTTAAGATTTCAATATATCATATTGAAAAACATTTTAATATTACAAAATTTTTTGGGGCATGGTTTATTAAAATTTTGTTCAACACCACTATTAAAATTACATGCATTTAAGTAAAAAACATATATATATATATATATATATATATATATATATATACAAGTATTTGAGTATTCTTGAAATTCGGTCGAATGAAAATTTAATATTTTCAATTCGTCTCGAGTTTTTTTTTATATAGATCGTTTGAAAATTATTTACATATCATTATTGTTCTTAAGTTTGTTATCTCCCCTCATTGCTTCTTTTTTTTTTTTTTTTTTTTTTTTTTTTGATATTTTCTTTATTAATAGTATGTAAAATTCGTGTCACATTTAATGAAGATTTTAAGTCGATATTATGACCAATTTGCATGGCAATTTATTCACATGTTTTCAATTTTATCATAAATTGCGGAAGATGAAGGATCAAATAGAGGATGGATTAATCTAAGGATCAGTTTAACTCGCGTAATGGCTATTATTGCGGCAACGCCCTCGGGATATAAGATTCCTTTGATTTGGATTCGTTGAAATCAGCGTGTACCCAGCACGGACGGAAGCTAGCTAGAAGTATAACTAGGAGGTCGACATGGGGGTAATGGGATGAAACATCACGTACACCGTGTAAATATGCGAGAGCGGGAGAAAAGTAAGGAGGAAAACTGAAAAGAGAGAAGTGAGAGATAGCGAGAGGTGGATGTATAACACCGTGGGGGCAGATGGAGGCTTTACGGCCGATAAATTTACAGCTACTTGTCGTCCATAGCGACAGCATGGATCGTAATTTTGGAACGTGTGCCAAGAAAGTATGTTCTTCGATTGATTATTATTTATGTTTCTTGAAAAATGTTGATACTGTACTTGCGTTTATGCAGAAAGTTCAGGTAATTTTATTCGACATCTTTCTACATTAATTTTAATGGATATTTGTATTGTTTATAATATCTCAATTACATTTATTTGCAATTGCTTTTGTGCTTCATAATAATTTTAGTATTATTATTTTTCAATATATCATTGCTTAGATTCGAGTATATACGGTATATATGGTAATACATAGTATATATTATATTATATAATAGTGTATATTATATATTTTGATGGGATATTTCAGATGCTTGGCATTAAATTTTGAAACAGGGGGAGGAGTGCATAATATTTTTCAATTTATATTCGTAATGGGATATTAACTTGTTGCTGAAAAATTGTAATTTAAATTATAATGTTGCTCAAATTAATTTGTTGTTAAGAAATCTTATAATAGTGAATTTATCCAATAATCACTTATGAATTACTATTTAATTTATAAAAGAAGTTTCTTGTCCATTTGTCTGAATATTATAAATTACTTTGTAGTGATAAAAGTTTTTTAATACCATAAACATCATCTATTTTAAAGAATTAATAAAATTAATTTAAAAATACATAGTTTATTTATATCTGGAATTTTTTAATGTAAAATTACTTTCGCCTCATATATTCACTATCTAAAAGTTCTTAATTTATAATTTTTTTTTTTGTTAAAATACCTATTATAATACTCATTAAAATTTCACTTTGTCAACAAAATTGTTAAAAATTATGAAAATAAAACAAAGATGTAAAGTACTTAAATATTAATATTATATATATATATATATATATATAAGCTTATAATTAAAATACGTATGTATCAAGGGCAATAATTCTTAGAATATTTAATATATTCGAGTTGATAAATTAATTATTCGTGATCCATAAAGAAGTTCTAGCTATTAATGTTAAAGATTTTAATGTTAATTTTTCAATTTAATGTAATCGTTGAAAATAATACTGCAACAATATAGTAAAAACCAATTCCAATTATTCGCTCTTGGCAAAGAAAATACTTATCTTATGCGAAATCTTGAAATAGTATAAGAAAGAAGGTACTTATAATTGTAATAAAAAAGTGGACTGATCGGGCAAACTGAAATTTAATGTATATTTTGACAATTACGTGGTAGTTTAGGATGTGAGTGTGAAATGACCAGTACACATATTTTAATTAATCGGAATATCGAGTGATGTAAATGTTCAAAAGCGTTTGATGAATATTTATATCCTGCTATTCTTATCAAATTTATTCTTATAAATTTTAATATTTTGAAAAAAAAAAAAAAAATTGATCTATTACATTACAATGAATATTGAATTAAATACTTTTGGGGGTGGATTGGACCGATTGGAGGTGGATATATATATAATAATATTGGGGGTGGTACATTAGTGAACAGTGGAGTTTTACCATTTTAAT